TATGCAATCATTAAGGGGTTAAGGGGTTAATCACCTTTTTAATTTCTGCAATGTACTCTTCAATGTTATTACAGTTTTGACATTTTCATAAGTGATCATATATGTCTGAAAAATGTTTCAAATTGTTTTGTTGAAGACCTTCTACTAGCATATTAATTTTTTTTTTGGTATGCATTAATGCTACAGGTGATTTTAAGTTTTGTCTTGTTTTTCTGCTTGTAGTTTGAAATTTAAATCAAATAGTTTTGATTTAAATGTTAAATAACTGGGCCAAATTTTAATGCTTTAATTTACATGTTTTTAATCTGCTTTTGAAGAATATTTTTATCCCATTTAAAATATAAAACTGTTGCAGAAATTTATTCCTACTTAGCCTTCTTACATAGGTATCAAAGTCTTTAAATCAAAAAGTGATTTTACTAACTGCATTGGTATGTAATAATAATGCTGACTGTCCTTCACCAAGTTGCAGTTGAAAGAAATGCTGTTTGAGTAAACTTCCTCAAATGGAGTTAACAATTTTGAATGATATTTTTATCCTCTCTTTTGTATTTATTCCTTTACTGGCTAACAATTGTTGGTGAATTACACAGTGGTTACCAAAAAACAAAAATTCATCATCATTTCTGCGTACAATTATAAATCTTGTGCTTCTAATAGGCTCCTCCTGCAGCTGTTGTTACTGAAACTGTGTTTTTAAAGAATTGACTATATCTACACCTCAAGTCCTTTCTTTCAAAGAAATCATACCCACCAAATTCTTTTTTAGGTGCATAATCTTTAAAAAACCATAAGAATAAAAACAAGCAATTGTGCTGTGTCACTTATATCAACTGTTTTATCAAAGAGGGAAGCAAGAACATCTGTGAATGTCATTATATAACTGTATTCAGGCCTGCGCTGACAATAAGTGCAAGGTCATGCGGCGCACAATGGCGCTCAGTCAAAAGTCACAGGGCAATCATTAAAACAAGCAGCTTGTTTCGCTGCCTCTCTGAACAGGAAAATTCTTTTCTTATTTGAATGTCCCTCTGGGGGTTGACTCAAATAAAACCTCAGAAGCTACTGATTAGGATCTGTACCTAGGCAGTCTCGGCCATGGGTGTTTAAAATCAGTTTCCACAGGACTGGAGTCATCGCTGGCAATGGCTATTTCAGGCTCTACAGGGACCGTATGGTACTGTCTTGTTTGTTCCTGTTTAGGATCTGTACCTAGACAGTCTCAACCACGGGGGTATATAATTTGGCTTCACAGGACTAGAACCTGAGTATTGTACTCAGGTTGGTTCAGGCTTGGCAGGGACCGTACTGGTACTGTCGTGTCTGTTCCTTCAGCTGGGGTGGAGCTAGATCGGAGATCGTCGACCGAATCCCCGGGGTTTTTATTCAGTTCTCGTGGCGGGGACTGACAGGGTGGACAGAGCACCCACAACAATGTAATTTTTGCTGATGGAGGGGTGCCCAGAGGCAAGGTGACAGAGTTTTAGCATTTTGTTATGCCCAATGCTTTGTAAAAGGCTGGGCAGAGACTGCGGGGGTTGTGCCTGCAAGGATGAGGTCCCATGGACTGTAGATATCTAAACTCTGTGTGGGTCATCTAGAATATGGACCTGGGTCGGAGATCTATCGTCTGGTGTGTCTGTCTTGTCTGTCCCATTAGTCGTGGTGGAGCTACATAGTCAAATCTTCATGGTTGTCTGGAGCAAAACAACCCCGTCCATGGAGTTGGCGAATTCAGCAAGCCTTTTATCTGCTTGAGGTTTCCAGTGAGCACCTGGAGCCACAAAACTGCATATTCATATCCTTCCTTGGTTTCCCCAGAGGTCGCCTAAACCCAACATCTGTATACCATGATTTAGTGTTGGCAGGCCACATTAGTGGTCCGGTTTGTCTGACAGTTTTAAGTGACTTCATTCTGCTGTCCGGGATTGGGGCCCCTGTTGGTGGTGGATGTTTTTACCATCCCCTGCAGAAAAGGAACGTGAGTTGCAAAGTATTCCTGTCAGCTTGACGGATAGGTTAGCGGCCTCTTGGATCGCCTATAGGGGTTGGGGTGTATAACTGTGTTAAGGTAGCTCGAACTTGCCAGGTCTGAGTGCCCCTCCCTTTTAGCACACTGTCTTATTTGACTGAAAGTTATAACCAGGGCAGGAATTCAACTCTCATGTTCTCTTCTGCCTTATTTGAACAGGAAAATACTTGATGCCGTAGCATATGTAAGGGTAGACGCATTCGACAAATTACTTAATTCTTATTTTGTGTCCAATGCTGCAATCGTAGTAATTTGAGAAACATTTACTTATTTTGTGATTGCTTTTTGTTATTGTTTTTCTACATGAAAAAAGGTAAGTGCAGTTACATATTATGTTAAGCTTAGGTTAACTTTTTAATCTGGAAAAGCAACGATTTGAGCATAATTACTCGAAAGCTGTTTACCTCTCATGTTTGATCCATTGCCGTATTCTTGGTTGCATAAATTACTAATATCTAAACCATTTTCATTTAAAGTCTTTTATAAGAATGTTGTTCATCCTCCACCGCTAGTATCTGTCAGTGGCATATCTGGGTGGGACAAGGGGGGACATCTGTCCTTGGGTGCAGCATCCAAGCGATGCCATGCTACGAAATGTTTTAATGAAATGTTTTCCATTCTTGGCACACAAAAAGTGGTGCAAATTCTTCAGTTGTCCCTGGGCGCTGGAATCCTAGCTACGGCACTGGTATCTGTTGTAATATAAAATAATAAAAGCATTTCTTGAATACTCATGTCTGTATTTTCTAAATTAAGATACTTGATCGCTGGCATCAGGTGTACAATCAAGTAAAATAAAAAATACTTTGCCTGTTTGACCATATTTAAAATAGTTTGCTTTATATTATTCCCTAATAAGCTTAACTGTTTTATTTTGAATTTTATCTCCAAGGTAATGAAGCATGTTTTTTTTTTTTTTTTCAGTTTGAATTTTATTAATTTATACAGACATAATAGGGTCAAATTTTGTGATCATTTCTATACACTTTAAAAAATTGTTATTTCTTTTAAATAATTTGTTACTGGAACCACGGAAGGCTGTTTTGTTTGGCTAAAAACTGAATGGCGTAGATAATTGTTTCAATAATATCGCGGCAGTGCTTAGTCTCTTTTTTTTAATAAAATTTGAAATTCCGAATTAAACAGGTTATTCTTTCGTAAATATTCCAAGAAATTGGATTAACGTTTTCATTGTTTGGCAAGATTCGACAAAAGTACATCTAAAACATTTTTGTCTTTTGGGAAACTGAAACTCGAAACCAGGTTTTTGGCATTATCGAGGACAATTTTCTATTAATAAAGCTTGAACTTGGGATGGCAAAAATGGACTTAAGCATAATCCGGAATCATGAGGCACAGATAAATGCGTATCTACTGCAGAAATTGTAGATCTCAATAGTATTTCTTCTGTGTTTTTTTTTTTTTTTTTTTTTTTTTTTTTTTTTTTTTTTTGTTTTTTTTTTTTTTTTTTTTTTTTTTTTGTTTTTTTTTTTTTTTTTTTTTTTTTTTTTTTTTTTTTTTTTTTTTTTTTTTTTTTTTTTTTTTTTTTTTTTTTTTTGACCAGCTGCAATGAAGTTAAAGGTAATTCCCGGGTGAAATTACTTTTAACTCTTTGTGATTATTAGGATCCTTTGGTAATTTCAATGGTAGTTGAGACATTGATGGATAACTAGAGTTAGTAGAGTCAGCTTGGGTATTCATTGGTGTTTGGGGAAAACTGAGTAATTTTAAGTTCTGGTTTATTAAGTCTTCATCTCACTTTTTTTTTCTTCATAACATTCTGATACTTAGACTGTTTGTTTCTGTTTTCTTTCAACATCTGGGGGACAATGAAAATAGAAAAAGTGGAAGTAAAAACAAAAGTAGAAAATAACTATTATAAGAACTATTGCATAAAACGCATCTTCTTAAAAATCACTCGGAAAGTAACTGTTTAAAATATTTTACCTTACTCCTGAAAAAGTGAGTATATCTTAAACCATTGCTTGGGAAATATATGAACTAATAAAAATCAAGACCAAATAATTCAAGGAAGCGGTGGTACTGTTTTGTTTATTAAAGTAAATAAAATAAAATTTAAAGTACGTATGTATTTAAGACGTAATGAAATAACGAAACATTTTCCTTTGGTTTTTCACATAGCTAAAAATCAGAAAAGGGCCAATTTTTGATTTCGAAATACCTTGTATATTTTAAGTTCAGTGGTTCTTCATAAATATATCAATCCTTTCTTCTTGAAGGATCATAATTTTTAGCTTAATAAAGATATGTAAAAACATTCATGTAAAAACGAAATTCGAGTAATTAATGCTCAAATCGTTGCTTTTCTGAATTAAAAAGCTAACCTAAGTTTAAAATAATATGTAACTGCACTTACCTTATTTTATGTTGAATAACAATAACAATAAAGAATCATCAGAAGAAAAAATGACAAAAAGATAAATGTTGCACAAATTACTACGATTGTAACAGTATACACAAAATAAGGGCTAAGCAATTTTTCGAACGCTATTATGGCGTCGCCTGTACCCTTACATAGGCCTTGGCATCACGTATATTCATTCACATACTATAATTACAAGTTCAGCTCAACTTATGTCAAAACCTGCAAAAAGCATTAACATAAAAATCAAAACAGTATAAATAGTATAGATCTCATGCATGGACTGCAGTTTTTACAAACTTTTAGAGGAACTGTAGCATCGCCAGTTGAAACTCTACACTATATTGTTGTGAACAACATAGCAGTTTGCAGAAAAGAATTTTGGCTATATCCCTAGATATCATCTCTAGACATTTTTTGTGCCCTGTTGTAATTTGTTTTATGTAATTTTAAGATAATAAGTAGTGTTCAGTAATATATTTGGTATCCAATGCATTTAGTATATTATTTCGCATTGCTTGCAGTGTTACTTTTATATAACATGTTGCTGTTGTTTAAATGCTCACTTGTCTGACTTATATTCAGCCCAAGCCCAGGAAATTCCTCATGGCAAGGAGCGCAAGATACGCCTGTCGTTGGCAACAACCTTGAGCACCTTACATCTGACAGTGTGGTTTAACTCAGTTTCACCCCCAATTTTGATGGAGAGCACCCTGGGAGGACGGGTCCGAGCATCTCCCACCCCGCTTTCCCTACCACCAGCCTTTCGAGAGGACTTTTGCCTCCCATATTTGGAGTGCCCCCATGCAGCACAGACAGTATACACTTACAAACATTCATGTCTTCTCCTGGCTTCGAACCCAGGCCCTTCGGCCCACGCTAACTGCTATACCGGTTGGGCAGCTTTTTATAACAAAGATATGTATAATTCTTCAATAAATATGTTTGAGTGTGGGTTTTAACAAAGCACAAAAGGTTTGCATATGTAGACAAAAGATATACATGTAATTTTTTTGGTTTTTCATATTATTTTGTTAATAATGTTTTGTTTTAAATATTAACCATAAACAATGTGCCTTTAATATTGTCACTACATAAAGGTGCTCGCTAGACATTTGCACGACGGTGCCGGTTAGGCTTGGCGTGGGCCTGACTGTATTGTTATGTTTTCTCTAATTTTCTCAGTGTGCTGCATCACAGTACTTCAAAAAAGTAGTAGCTGTGTAATTGCAACAATAATCTTGTTCTATAAAAATAATTAAACTATGAATCTGACATTCCAAAAAAGTTTCATAAATTCCCCATAATAATGTGGTTTACATCAGGGTTTCTTAAACTTTTTTCATTCGCAACCCCTTTTTATCACTGAAATTTTTTTCACGAACCCCCAGGATTCCATAATATTTTTTAAAAATTTGTTGGACCTCATAAGTATTGAATAAATCCGACACACGCCTGAGTGAAACTGTCAATTTTTTCACTTGTACTGTAATATACTATTGCAGTTTTAGGTAATTAACTTTAATTTCTAATTTTAAGACATAGAATGTGAAAATTTTAAATATGTAACAGACGAAATGACAGCGTCACGTGCAAAGCAAGGAAAATGAACATTTATATTATAAATAGAATGAGTCGAAACGTTTCAATTTTTTCCTTTGTTTTGTGTTGTCTTATATTTATCTATTTTCAGATACATTGTGTAAAAATATTTGGTAATTGTAAAATTATTATAAGTTAAAGAAACATCAAAACTCCTAAAATCGGGCTTCGAGCGACCTCCCCCCCACCCCCCCCCCCCCCCCGCTGCAGGTCTCGCTAGGGGTTGTGACCCACAGTTTAAGAAACCCTGGTTTATATTATTCCCCCGTAAAATATGGCATACTTAGAATGAGGCAATAATTACTGGGTATAATTAAAACATAGAGTTTCAGAAGTAGTTTTGAGCTTTCAGTTGAGTTTTAAGATCCCTAATTTTGTTTAACTTTTTTTCAGGTCACAGTTTATAAATAATTTGTTTGATATTTGTTATATAAATTTTTTTAAATGCCTTTTTTAAGCAACAGCTATGACTGGTTGGTTATTAGAATACATTAAAGCACATCAAGGCTCTTCCTCTCAGGCAGAGTTGTGTGGATGATCTTCTAAGGAAAATTAGCTCATATTCACAATACACACGGAAAAAACTGCAAGAAACAACCATGTAACCACCCATTATGTCTGAATTGCCAGCCCATGTGCAGTCTTAACCACTTCTCCTTTAGATATGACAGTAATGGCTAGAGAGACATTGCATAAAACAACAGCATATATCATTTATCATTGTAAAGAAGTAATTATTAAGTTCCCATTCTTCAAGATAATGATAAGTCTTCAATTAATTTTGGTTTATCACTCATTTTAATGGATATTAAAATATAAATCGCATGTACAAGTGGGCAGTTTTAGTTTGAAACATAGAAGGAAAGTACCTATATTTTCGCACAGCAGTAGTGTGAAGCAAAATTGACGTTTTTCTTGAAATGCTAATGACAAGTCATAGTATGACAGATGACATACTATGATAGGTGACTGACGTGACACTTTTGCATTCATAATCTCAAAAGTAAAGAATTGTGTAATATGTATACAGTTTTAAAAGAAAAGGAGTATTTGCAGTGGAATCAAATAAGTTTGACTGCTGATTGCTTGGAGTTCGACCTGGGTTTGATCCAAGGTGAACAGGTTTGCTGCATGGTTGGTTTTCATAGTTTTTCTGATGTGTAACAGGAATGCAAGCCAGTTCTCTTTTGAAAGACCTCTACAAAAGGCCACCCTCTCTGTATGAAAATAGTTCTCGTATGCTTTGTATATTCAAATAACCTTATCTAACTGAATTGGTAGGTCTTTTTGTTTGAAATGTTAAATTTCCATTTACTGCTTAACATCCTGTAACTTCAGAAAAAATGGAAATTAATCAAAACGTTTTGCAAATAGGTAACTGTTTTTAATACAAATTATAATTAGTTATTCAATGGCAATTTGCTTTAGAGATTAGTATCTGTAGAAACATATGTATTTTTTTGAGGGGTGGGAATAAAAAAAATTTTACTAAATCCTCTAGAAATCAATTAAATGAATTGTAGTTTTATGCAAGTGGGTTTAATCTAGATATTTTAATTCTGGATGTCTGGTTCTCTAGTCATTCCTAAAATAAAGTGAAACAATTCTGATATCAAAAGCAGCTGTTATTTAAACTGAACAAGATGTTAAAAAACTATTGTAAACTAAAGTAAGCTTGAAATGTGGAAGAAATTATGATATTTTATAAGAAAATTGTATGTTTCCTTAGCCAATGAAATTTACCTTTTTTGTTATATGTTAGTTATTTCTGTGTGCATGCAAATATTACTCTCAGGATACTCTCAGTTGAATTTTGAATTTAATTCATCTAAGTCTAGTCATTGAAATGAATAATATGGTATAGGTCTGTGAATGTATCCCATAAAATACTGTGAGTATACTACTAATTATAACATACTCTAGTTATATCTTATGTGTTAAAATTAATATGAATTTCCTTTAAGTAGTAACTAAGGTACAGAAATAGTGATCAAAGGGTTAGTGATTATTAAAAGATTATTTTATGTAATTTTCATTGCATCAATGATCACATAATTTTGCTTTAAGTTTGATATTGGACTAATATTTGATTATGTACTTTACTTGATTAGCTACACTGCATCAAGAAGTGGAAATTCCTTTCTGTAAATTCCACTTTAAAAGTATTAAAAAATTTTTCATTATAATTTACTTTAACAAGGTTCTTATTATATAACCCATGCATTAATGTTAACAACATTTGATGTAACTGAGATTCGTAAAATGTACTACATTATACTTTCCATCAAAGCAGCATGTATAAAATAAAGTTCAAATATAAAGGACAGTTATAATATACTGAGCCTAACTATTTATGAAACTGAATGGTTGTAATTATATGTAACTGCAAAATTAAGTGCAGCATGGGAAATTAAAAAAAAATATAGGTCAACAGCAGCAGTCAACCTTTGCACTGCAAAGACAACTTTCAGTGGCCACTTGATGTTGTTATTTTATCTTCTGAGAACTGCCTCTAAAGTGAAAAGGATTAATGTGTTTACTCTGCAGTTCCAATATATTGGTATTTCTTTTTCATTTTACTGAGTAGATTTAGATTGGCAAAACACACTTGATTTTGGCAAAACACACTTTTCAGTTGACTTGGAGATTTGATACTTCTGTGTTTATCTGTTCTATATTTTCATACTTTGATAAAATAATGTTATTGTGTATGATTGCTATGTCTGTGTGTACTGCTATTTACATTTTAATCTTCAACAGACAAAAATTAGAAGGCTGTTTACATTTGAAGATTATTTAGAAGAAACAGATGTTGCATGAATATTTTTCCATTCATAAATTTGTTTAGTTAATAATACATTTGTTGGAATAAGATGTCCTATATGTATAAGACATTTGAAGATTATTTTTAATGCTAATTTTCCAGACTTTTTAACAATGTGTATTTATTCTGACTATAAAACCATATATTTCTTCAAGAAATGTTAAAACTGTGATATTTCTGTTTTCTCTAAAATTTTCTTTTCTTAACATAATATGTGAGAATCTCATATGGCAGTAAAATCTCCTGTCCATGTAAATAATATTTTGGATTTTAAACAATGTATTGCCTAAATTAATATATTAAAATCATGCTATCCACTTATGTTTGTTTGCAATTATTTTGTTCCCTCCATCTAGTGTGTGTGTCACAATTTTTTAAAAATTTTATTGTACTGATATTTTAATTTTGCATATCTCATACTATAGTTTTTATATGAAAATTTAAAATAATAAATGTCAAAAATCAGTCATATATGTGTGTATGCAAGCACACACACACACACACATGCATGTATTTGCATACATATGTAGAGCAAGGTCATAATTATCATTGTGGCCTTTTGTTCAGCCATTGGTTAAACATACTATATATGCATCCTTGTATAAAAATGTTTTAAATAAAGCAAATATTCATGTTATGTCATTTTTAAATTGTAAAAATTATGAAATCTAATTTTTTATGTGGTTTCTTTGTAAAGTTATATATAGTAAAAGTTTATTCTTACATAGCATGTAAAACTAAGCAAGTTGCATTGCCTTGCAAGAAAAGCTGATCAAATTACAGTAGCTCACATTTATTTTTGGACACATTTATTTTGAAATGTATTTGCATCGATCTTGTATTAAATATTGAAACATAGATTTGATATTTTTTCTAATAATTTTCCCCCTATTTTAAGCCTTGATTGTTTTAAAATAAATATAATCAAATAAATCCTTGTAATAAAACAGTTTGTTCAAAAAATGTTAATCAATAATTCACGCAACAGTTTGAACACTAAATTTTTGTTGAAATAGGCAGTGTTTCATTTATATATATTTTTTTAATAAAAAATCTATTTTAAGAATTATTGTCTGCAAAATAAATTATAGTTCCGTATCTGATGTGAATATGGCAAGACACTACAAGTGAATAACGAGTTTTGTGAGAAATTTAATAATTAATCATTTTAAAGGTTATTCTAGATATCCAGAAGTTCCTTAATGTAAAGCGTTTGACTATGTTCTATGTAATAAAATTATGGAAATTGTGTGGAACAGTGGTGTCTCAACTACACTCCAAACTATTGAAAATGTACTGGTGTCTGAACTTCATTCCAAGCTATTGAAAATGCACTGATGTCTGATCTACATTCCAAGGTAACACTAAGGAACTGCATATTTATTCTAAGGAAAAATAAGCATCCAAAAATTAGTTCTGTAAAATGTTCAGCAGATTTATTTTGAAGATTGATTTGCAATAAAAGTTAACATTGAAGCATTTAAAAAAGTGATTTAGGGTATATGGATAAAATGGGTAATCTGCAAAAAGGAAATCCTTCATCAACAAGAAAATAAGAAAATTATGCCTGACATTTTTCAAAATCTATAAGCAAAGTTTTTTTCATATTGGAACAATGTTATATTTCCAGAAAAGTAAAAATTTAATATAGTTGGTCCTGTAGATGAATTAATATGTGGCAAAATTTGTTAAAGCATAAAATACTAACTTTATTATTTCAAAATACAAATGATGTCGCTTTCAAATGATAGTAAATTATTTTTAAACGCTTATATTAGTCAGGTGGAAAAGCAATGATGTGTTTTATTATAGAAATTTAAAAATTTATTATTTAATAACTATATTTTAAAATCCAAGCTAACTTTTAATATTCTTGTCCTGTTGATTTATTATTGAATCGAAGGCAACTTGTTAGAAATAAAAATATCTTGTAATTCATCATAGCTCTTGTTATTTCAATTCCAGTGCCATCACTTGAGCACAATTCTTTTGCATTTACCTGGTAACCATTTTTTATTCCTATGATATATAACAATTCAAAGTAGGCCATCATTTCCACTCAGGTAACTTATATATTTATTTGTACATTCCAAAATTTCATCGAGCATATTTATATCAACTATTTAAAAAAATGTTCCTACTTTA